CAGTGTTCCCGCTGGGCAGGAGGAACAATAACCACGTCCACGTGTTCTTTGAGGGCAGTGGGGGTGGTGGCACTGGCTAGTAGGAGTCTGGTGGGGACGTCACCTGGCAAGGGCACAGGAAGCTGCATTGCCACAATGCTGTTTGAGCAGCTCTAATAAAAAGCTCCCCAGTGCAAGAAGAGAAGACAAACCCTCCAAACAGCCCATGAAGGGACACGTCTCCACCCTTTTGGTTTTGTGCAGCTTCTTTGCCAGCCAAGTCTGTGAATGTCGGGGCCTCATCTTTTTCAAAAAGCAGTGAATTCTCTTCCACTCCCTGTGATACATCCCTTTTAGCAAAACCAAACCAGAACAAAACACAAGAAGCAATTAAAGGCTCACGCTGCAATCTCTTAAAGTTACAGTAACTGAGTTAGACCTCATACTGTCTCAAGGCTTTTATTACTTTGAAAAAAGATGCCCTAGAAAAATGCAGCAACTTTGAGAAAAGGTCCTTCTGTGTTTTTTTTTTCTTTTCTCACCAATCTCCAAACTTCACTTGTAATCTAAAAGAAAAAGTCTTATGTGTAACTAACTAGAGAGGGAATGCCCCCAGGTTTTACACTGGTGAACTGAAGAGCAAATCAGACTCAAAACTGCACATAGGATTTTTTTTAATGCTTAAAATGTGTTAAAAATAATCTTTGAAATTAAGAACTAGTGGGAGCAGCTACATACAGTGAACACACTGCTTACTCTGTGGTTAACCCCCACAAAGGGTGGATCTATCCCTGGTTCTGAGGGAACACCGTATAAATTCAACGGTGTGATTTTGAGCTACATTGCTCCTTCATCAGGCTGCTTGTGGTAGCTCTATTCATGAGCAGAGAGAAGCGGGTGGATGGTCTGCATAAGCATTTTGAGCTAATGTGCCTAAATTTTAAAGTGCCTTTTAAATGTGTAAATTAGAAAACCTATAGCAAGAGAACAACTGCTGCAAATGCCAGAATAATTTTGTCTTGGAATGAGAAGAAGTAAAACACTGCCTCCACTGATTTCCTCTTTCTTTTCTCCCATTAGGAGAACAGAAGGATGATTGCAGGTTGATTCACACTGTTCTGATTTTTTCTTTCAATTCTTATTTTTAGATTCTACCCAGGATTAATGGGTGTTCATCTGACCCACAGTATGGGAGCGGCACAGAGCAGAGTGCCAAATGTGAATCAGGATGGGCAGGGAAGGAAGGGGGGAAAAGGGGAAGGGTGCAGTAAAGAAGTTCTGCCTGTTTGCCACTGTGGACTATGAAAGAGGCATAAAAAAAGATTTTCTCTCAAAAAACCCCCTCACTGCTCCTCCCCATCTCCCTTCGCCCATGCAGGAATGAAACTAACCCCTTCTCTGCCTTGTCTGATTTCTGTTTTGTGACTGAAGAACTTGGAGGATGTGACAGCAAGAAAAAGGGAGCAAGCTGAGTCTCAAATCAGGAGACTTACTTTGAAACCCTTCCAGACACCATTCCCTCCTGAAGGGGCTCTCATTTCTCCTAGGTTGCTACTGCTACTGCTACTGCTACTGCTAATATTTTAATAGAGTTATTTAAATCCCCAATGTCTAGTTACATTGGGGGAAAAATATTCTCTTTCCTAAACACGAGCAAATATTTGCCTGTGGCCAGCCCACAAAGAAACCCCCAGCTTTCTCACCATCATTGTAGCTCGCTTCATCTACAGCAGCAAAGATGCTGACAGGCGGGGCTGCCCAAACTGGGTGGCAACCATATCGTGATAAAGGCAGTGAGTGCTGAAGGTCCTGACTATACCAGTAATGGGGACACACACAAACCTTGCCTATGCTCAGACATCCACAGAAAAGTTCTCTAGTGAGACCTGTTCTCTCAAACCCAGCTGCTGCCACTGTGGTTTCAGTGCATGACAGCCATTTACTGCTAGATGACATCTTAGGTAAGTTTACTGTGTCTGGACGGGGCTCAGTTTCTCCACAGCATCCCAAACCCTGCTGTGTGTGCTTTAGCTTTGTGACCAAAACCATGTTGATAACTCACCCATATTTCAGTTATTGCTGAGCAGTGCTTGCAAAGCACCAAGACTTTCTTTGTTTCTCACTCTGCCACTGTAGCAAGCAGGCAGAGGGAGGTTTGGGAAGGGACAGAGCTAGGAAAGCTGAACCCAAAGGTATATTCTACACCCTCAGTGTGTAAGGAAGAGTCCACAGAGGTTTCTCTATTTCTGTGTATTTAAAACAAAAAGGCAAATGTGGATGGTAATCTGGAGCAGACAGGGAGGGTTTCACTGAAAATGACTGTTCTGTGATACACCTCGTGAAATATACAACTCTTGACAATTCAGGAGATCTAGAGATCTTGTCTGGAGTTCCTCCCTGTTTCCCAGCACAAAGAGACAAAAAAACTGAAGGCCACTAAAATCAACAGCTGTGCTGTCCTCACAGCACAGGGGACACATGTCAGATTTGTAGATTGTGTTGTAAAAGGAAAAGAACCTCTCGATAGGGAACAAATTGACACTCTAAGCCAGGCTGGCTGGGAGAGTCTGGTCAAATAAGCAACCGCAGGCACATTCAGCACAAACCATGATATCGAGCAGAGCATCAACCAAAGGCTGTGAGGAGATGACCCTTTTCAGTTGCTTATATGCTAATTACAGGATTCTAAAAAAAATGGATAAACTCTCTGCCTATAAAGTAGCAATGCAAAATAGTACTCTTGACAAATAATAGCTATATTTAGACTATTATATTATTAACTGAAATAGCTGTAGCCAATTTTAAAAATCCAAATGGAAGAGGGTGGTGGCAGGCCATATGTGTCACAAATGACATCTGAGTGACTGACAACTTGGAAATAAATAATTTTGGAGAGTTACAGGAATGATTAGCTTCTTCAACACTTGCATACAAGAAATACAAAATCCCTCCTTGTGTTACTCTGGGGGACCTTATGTCACTAGCCCTAACGCAGGCCTGTACTTTCCAAAGGGCTACAAACGACAAGTTACTAACCCCTAAATTCAAAAAAGGATGGGCCTTCCTAACCCTGTGAAATGAAGCTCTTGCCAGTTAGCTGCATGAGTCATCAACAGCATTGGCCTCGCAGCACCAAAGGGGACAGGAACAGTTCACAGCACCGTCACCACAGGGTGGAGAGCTGAGCTCCACCACACACAAGCTAAACCCCATCGTGGTCACACAGGCAGCCACCCCACGTGGAGCAGAACCCACCTGCTTCCTGACCCAGCCAGGGGCTGCAATGGGCAGGAGCTGCAGTGCTGGCACAAGCACAACTCACTGCGGGTGGGGTAATGGAGCCACGCCTGAACTGCCTTGTGAGTCATACCTGGTTTAGCATCCCTGCTCAAGACTTTGTCTTGAAAGAAACGATCACAGGCCAGAGGGTTACTGGTTGTTTAGACTGAAAAGGACCAACACTTCCTGTGCAAACAGCTAACATTGTCTGCAATCAAATCCAGACCAGAATTTTATGCAATATGTGAGCATACGCTCTTTATAGATACATAAATTAAAATCCTAGGGCATGCTTTCTGAGAAGTGGTTTCACAAAACTAGAGCAAATTGGAGTCAAATCAGGCTGAAGGCAGAACATACAGAAAGTTGCTGACATCTGCAAACAGTTTAAGACATTTCCTAGATGCCTACAGTGTTACAACCATGGGAATGGGCTAGATAAAAATAACACAACGAAAAAAATCCAACAGCTGGGTTTACCAGGGAAGTAATAAAACATATAAAATGTTATATAGAAAACTGGTACATGAAAGTGGAAAGAGGAAGAGATAATAAGAATCAAAAAAAGCTAAAATAAAGATTATATAGAGGAATTAAGAAGATATTAGAAAAAAATAAAGGCACATAAACTCAGAAAGCATATTTTAAATTTTTCTAAGTGGATTATGAAAGATGAATCTTGAGCAATAAAAACTGTAGAATCATTCATAACAATATGGCAGCAGCAGAAGTTATTCAGTAAATGTTTCCGATTAGCACACAGGTAAAAGGCTGGATGATCTGCTTATGATGATGATAATGAAATCGATTCCCACCACAGCAGCCCCTGGAGAGGGGATGTTAAGCAGCAGATAAACGATTCTGGGTGATTCAGATTAGTTGCTAGAAAAAAACTTGTCTCAGAAGGTTTGTAGAGGTAGCCTTGGAGTTGCTACTGCATCTAAAGCAGTTCATGGCCCCTGGGGAAGGACCAAGGACAGGAAGAAGGCTCATACTGGGCTACTATTTGAGAAGGATAGAAAGTAATTACAGGCCAGTTGGATGAGTTTCCAGTATTTTGCAGAGGATGGAACAACTAATATCAGTCTCAATTAGTACTGTTTTTCAAAGCTCTGTAATTAAAGTCAATTAACTTGGCTTTAAGGAAAATAGATCCTGTCAAACTAATTTGATGTAATTTCTTGCAAAAATTACAAGTTCACTTGATGAAGGCAGCATCTCTAACAGTATTACAAATCTAAGTAATTTGACTTGTTCTGTAGAGTATCTTTATAAATGCTTTGAAGCCTATATGGAGTGTCTTCATCTGCACATGGAGAGCAAGACTCCATTAATGGAGAGCACCATATAAGATCAGGCTAATAACTTCAACCTGTTTTATACTGAAGTCAGTTTTGAGTCCACAATCATGTTAGAAGTATTAAGAAACTGATAAATTAAGGAAACCAAAGTGTAACTGTAGATGGGAAACTATTTATTAGCAAACAAATGGGTTCCTATTGGATTCCACAGACATTGGTGAGCATCCCTTCATTATTTAATGGCCTTAGCAGCGACCTGGATTAAAGTTAAGTCATTTTGGTTAGACACGAGACTGGGAACAGCAGAAAACAAACCACAAAAGAACAAGCCTGACACAGAGCAACTGGGGTATGAAGAAAGATAGGAGAAACCAGTTTAGGTGTTAATATGGCTGAGTACAAAATCCCCCTGTTAGAATGAAGAATCTGGGCCATACTTACAGGATGAGAGGGAGAGAGAGGACTCTATCCTCCGAAGCAGAGACTGAATATGAGACCCGGGGTCCTGGGAAGCAATCAGCTCGACATGAATTCCCCACGCAAGGCTGTGGCCAAAAGGGCTAATGGGAGCCTCAGCTGTACAAACAAATGAAAATCAAAAGATGAGTAGGTAGGTTATGGTGATGCTGCATTTGGTTCTTGTTCCTCTGCTCCGTGAATAACGTATTGGGTTCTGGTGCTCCATTTTACAAAAAAACTCTTGGAAAAACTGGAAGAGTATTCAGGAAAGAGAAATTAAATAACTGAAAACACTGGGCTACAGAAGGCTCTGTTATAAACTAAAATCTTAGAGGGAATTTTGTTATTTTGTTCATTGTATAGCAGTATTCTTACACTGAATAAATTTGATAACAGCAGGCTCTGATCTAGCAAAGGTAGAAATTATTCTAATCCAGGCTGTGAACAGGCAAGTTTGTTCTGCTTGTTCAGCAGTGATGTGTTATAGGCAATTAACCAGTAATTAACCCTTTGCATCACAGGTTATGAGGTACTGCTCACCTCTGCAAAGTTGTGAGAGTAACCGTGCTTGATTCAGAAAGGATGCACGCCCACATGGCTTGGGTTAATTGTTACAAAGCAGGAGCAGGAGCTGAGTGGTCACTGTGTCACACCGTGCTTTGTGTTGCCACCAAGAAACTCTCCTTCTCCTTGCAGGGTGTTGATCCTGGCAGCCTTCCTGCTCACAGCTTACAAAACATCTCCAGGGAATCCCCAGGCTTTTGGGGATGAAATGCCACCTAAGTACGGATGACACCCAACTGTCCATCTTCTGCAGGATATGCAGGCAGCCCCTCTCAATTCCCAGCACCTGGCTGCACACAAAACCTCACTGTACAAGGCTCCTCACCCTGAGATGCCAAGGAAACCACTTTTAGGAAAACAATGGGTGTTTTTATGGCTCTGGCACTGAGAAAGCACCGATGACTCCTTGTTTCAGCAATTCACTTCATCTGCTGCTTGCCACTGGGACCTTGTCCCACGGATCTGGCTGGGATTGCATCCCAGCACAACCTGGCCACAGAAGGTGACCTCAGAGAATTATGCTGTGGAAAAGAGTCCTCCATACCTCACAGATATTTCCTTTCCCAAATGCACCCTTTTAGGATGAACCAGTGGACTAGCTATCTACTTCAGGAAAACAAGTTAGATCCTTCAAGCAGAATGAATAGATAGGAACACTACTCCTGCAGGAACCTCCCAGGTCACTCAGGACAAATACGTGTCTTCTCCTTCCTTTTCTGCATGCCAAGGGAACTGGGTGCTGCCAAGAAAGCTTCTGGCTACCTGTCCCAAGGCTGGGGTTGGACATTTGGGTTCCTGAGGACCATGTGTTCAGCTGTGGGACTCTGGTGATTGAATTTGTTTCATCTCACAGCCTGCCAATAATTAAATTTGGTGTTTTTTAAGGAGGCAGCACAAGCTTTTGTGCGTGCTGTCTGTCTTAACCTGGGCCTTTGGCCAGAAAGTATTAATCCCAACAATGTGCAGGAGTGGGAAGGCTGGAAGTGTTTGATTTGTGCCAGTTGCTGGCATCATCTCATTTTAAGCTTCTGGAATGAACCCATTTATGACTGAATGTTGCAGTGTAAATTCTGCAAATAAAACAGATAAAATAATCTCAATTACTTGAGCTCAGGACTAGTTCACATATGCCACTCCAGAGATTTAGAAGGCGTTATTTCATACAAACATCTAATTAAATTTAATTATGGTTCTACAGTTATTTTTATGTTCAACAGTTGGAAAAAATGTGTTTTTCAAACTTTTAGTTATGCTCAGTAAGCGATGCCTGCTAAAACACAGCGTGCACAGCATAGTAAAATCTTGGTCATATGTCACAAACATAAAAGAAACATCCTGTCTTCAGTAAACGTGTAGTACAAAGCTTCTACAGAGTGAATCACAGCAAGAAAGTTTGTAAAAAATTTAGGGAGGAAAAAAGGCCAGTCCAAGCGTGGTGTGTATATATATATATGTGTACCTGCATTCACACACACCCCACCCCTTCAGCTCTGCTATACACGGCATTCCTATCAACAGTCCTCAGGACTCAAAACTGTGATTGCCAACTCTTCAGTCACTAATAGGGCAGAAGCTTAGGGAAACCTGATTGAGGACAAGGTTTTAGAGCTACTAATAAAAGATGAATCAGAGCCTGCAAAAGTACCCTTTGAATTGTGCATTTTTGCACTTTTACACTTTCTGTCCTCCTGGATGTATTTTCCCCCCTCTCCCTCTGGCTACCCAAGCTACATCCTACAAGATGTACCCCAGCTACATCCCACAGCATGAAGATGTTCTGTTAAGCACACATACAACTGTGTTTTTTAAACCTTGTAAAGGCTTATGTTAAAACATGGATCACATAGGCCAGACTCCAGAAATAGAATTTTACAGATGAAGTAACCATGATAATCTTTCTAACTATAAACCATAAACACTACATATAAGCAAAGAGCTTTAATACATGGATTTAAAAACATATTTTTATGAAATATTGCAAAATAAATCATATGCAAGGCTTTTCTTTTATTCTAGACACACAGACACAGAATTAAATGGAAGAATGTGAAACTAACCATCCCATCTGCCTTTGTAATTCACCCAGGCTAGACACAGAAATGCTATGGAATTTAATGCAATGAACCCCAGAAGTGTCACTTTCACAAATCTCAAGAGGCATCATTGACCTGAGGCTGGCTGCAGTTTCTGCCCCAATTCCAGTTTAATGTATTCCAGTCTGACCCTCAAGCGACAGTGCTGCTGGAGAACACACTAAGAAACAAATGCAGGCAATTGCTTTGACATAATTCTTTTGGACGCAGGCAGATCAAATGTGCTGATGTCAACAGAGACCAGAAAAGAGTTTTATCCAATCTCCTTTCCTCCCTGAAGAAAACAATGAGAGGAAACAAAGCACACTCCAAACCCCAGCCAAACACATGCCCACCTCCCAGCAGCAATACTGGTACATGCTGTCTAAGAAAGGGAGAACCAAGACAAACATTTCTAAAGTGGCATTCGTATGTATACACAGCATTTCATTTACAGCTTAAATTTACACGACTTGTGCATATAATTGGCTCTTTGCACATAACATGCACATCTGTCCTAAACAAGATAATAATTTAAAATCCCAGGAAGTGCCTAGTGCAGTCCTCTATGGCCACAGTACATTCAAAAGAGTTCCTAGCATAGTTCCCTCAACTTAGTGTAAACCACTCTTCTTCCCTTTCTCACGTGCTTCTAAAATTTAGGGGGCTGCATTGACCTGCTTTCAATATAATTATCAGGACTTTACCTTCCTGCCTTGCCACTCACTTAAATATCCAAGCTCTAGCATGCTCTGAGGCTGCATAGTTTGAAGTCAGAAAACATTGAGGCAATGCTGACTTTTTCTGCATAGAGATGGTAAGAAGAGAAGCTGGGAATATTTTTTCCACAGGAAAGATGAATTACGATTGGAAACCTGATTAAGGATGCCACAATGTCTATCCTGAGAATAAAAGACTAAGCTAAAGATTTTCTTCTCCACCTGGTGATGTTGCTTCTGAAATGACTTCTTTAAAAAGAGGAAGACCCACACATCAATGATACTTTTTCAGAACTCACTAGGGAAAATATCAGGGTTGAATGCAGCTGGTCCCTCAACTTTATACAATAAAAAACAAACAAAAAAGCAGATCCCAAGCTCATTTCCTCCTCTCTCTTTTACTTCCTCTCCTAAGAAAGGCTTCCAGCTCTGCTATTTACAGTTTTTCTTTTCTTCCAGTCCTCCATCTCCTCCCCCATCAGTCCATACAGAAAGATAGTCTGCAATGGTATAATGCAAAAACCAGATGAGATATTTAACGCTTCCCCTTTCTGTGTGCCTAGAGTGTTTCCAGGAAGAGAAAGTCTTGTGAGGATTTTCACTTTGCTCTTCTGTAGCTACTTGTGTGGGTCATTCTACCACAGTAAAAACCTGCATCTGTTATCTGACTATGTCTGAGAGACAGATAAAGATTACCATTTTTAATGTCCATAGGAAGTGTGGTCTGAGAGAAGAGTGATCATGTGTAACAGCCGCTGAAGCTACTTGATGTGGAACATTAAACCACCACACAAAGTAAAAGCAGACTTTTGTCCTTTGTCTACCGCCCTTTATGTGAGCTGCCCCCAGAATGTGGCCACAAGTTGTGGTCCACAGCTTGGCTGAGCATCAGAAGCCACAGAATCTTTTACTCTATGTTGGGACCTGCATAAGCATCACAAGATTCAGGCAATAAGGACTTTAAGGCCACCAATCATCAGGAATTATAAACAATTTAGTAATAAAATCATAGAGTGGTTTGAGTTGGAAGGGACCTTAAAGACCATCTTGTTCCAACCTCTTGCCATGGGCAGGGACACTTTCCACTAGAGCAGTTACTCAAAACCCCACTCATCCTTGCCTTGAACACTTCCAGGGATGGGGCATCCACAACTTCTCCGGGCAACCTGTTTCAGTGCCTCACCACACTCACAGTAAAGAATTGCTTCCTCATATGTCACCTAAGCCTACCTTGCTCAAGATGTTTATTAATGGCATAGGCAGTGAGATCAAGTGCACCCTTAGCAAGTTTGTGGATGACACTGAGCTGAGGGAAGGGATGTCATCCAGAGGGACCTTGACAGGCTTGACGGGTAGGACTGTACAAGCCTTGTGAAATTCACCTAGGGCAAGTGCAAGGTCCTGCACCTGGATCAGGCAATCACCAGCATCTGTACAGACTGGGGGATGAAGGAACTGAAGGAAGCCCTGTGCAGAAGTACTTGGGGGATGAAAAATTGGATATGAGCTGGCAACATGTGACTCCAGCCCAAAAAGCCAGCTAAATCCTGGGCTGCATCAAAAGCAGCATGGCCAGCAGGTCAAGGGAAGTGATTCTGTCCCTTTACTCTGCTCTTGTGAGATCCCACCAGGAGTTCTGCAAACAGCTGTGGGATCCCCAGCACTAGACCTTGGCCCTGTTGGAACAGGTCCAAAGGAGAGCCATGAAGATGATTAGGAGGATGGAACACTCTCCTGTGTAGACAGGCTGAGAGAGTTGGGG